ACACACACACACACACACACACACACACACACACACACACACACACACACACACAATGTATGAGAAATATGGGCCAGTAAAGTTTTACAGCTACCCAGAGAAATGAACGTCTTCACAGCTTCAAGCTGTGTTGCAGCTCATTCCAGCATTAAGGTGCTTAATGCTGGAAACCAGTCGTCACCAGTTCAGACTTTGTGTGAGGACTTTTCCTCTCTCCTGGGAGAGGTTAAATCAACACCTTTTTGAATCACATTCAACAGAAAACAAATACTGAAACTGTCACTGTGGGCTTTATTACACTGTGTTAGCTGGTATTTAATCTATTTTAGGTGTATTGATTGTTCTGTGTTGGAAACACTTTCTAAGGGAAACAAATACTTGCTTATTTTCTAAAGACCAAGCGAGGAGATATCGGTGAGTCATTAGCTAATAATTAGATCATAATGATCCGCTACTTATTTTAATTATCAGCTACTGTTTTCACGCCGCCTCAGATAATAAAGCATCTTGCTCAGTAGATACTCAGTAAATGATTGTTTCTTCAGGATTACTTTGCCTTTACCTGTTTGTGTGTCCACTCATGTAACAGAAAAACATTCTCACATCATCACAATGAAAGGTGAAAGAAAACTGTGTAGCTAAGCTATAGTAAAAAAGAATCAACACTAAACAGACATTATTCATTTTAAAGAGTTCAACATTCAAGTTTCCAAAATGCAACACAGCATGAGAAAGAAAGTTTAAAAGACACTGACTAAAAGATCCACGCTGCACCCGTAGGAGCTGCTCATCCATTGAAACCCATCCCACGAAGCTCCCAGCGCACAGTTTTTGTTCTGCTGTTAATGTCAGAGGAGGTTTTTGGGACCCAAAACCAGCGACCCTGCTCTGTGACATTACATGGTCTGCTGAGGTGCTTATCTAAACTCTTCCACTTGGCAATAAAACCTCTTAAAGTTGATAGCTGACCATCTAGGAGAGAAGAAGATTTCTCAGACTCATTTGTTGCACTGGTGGCGTCCTACACTACCACGCTCGATTATGTTAAGCCTTTTAATATGATCCGTTCTTTCCCAGACTTAAGTAAGAGGTGAGGCCCAATACTTCTGTCCAACAGCTTGAATCAGCAGCTGGAGATCTGTTGAGACTGATCATTTTTTAAAAGAATAATGATATCACACAGCTATATTGAGTTCTTGCGCTGATTCTGACATAACATTAGTATTTGAGAGTTTTCTGAAAATTTCTTCTGTTTCGATTCAGCCCATATTCCTTAAAGGTGCTCGCGCTCTTGTTCCTTTCTCTGTTCTCCAGTGATTAACAAACATTTGCAAGTTTCACTAAGTCTACTTTTACAGTATAATAAGAAGTCAGTGATTTATGCATGAAATGTGGCCTCAAATGCATATACTGTGAGTTCTTTTAATCGCGCGGAACAATGATCAAAGTAGCAACGCCGCAACTCAACAAAAGGGTGGCAACGAGCCAAAAATACATACTAACGAGGAGGGTTTCTCAAGGATGAGCAATTGGAAGTTAATAAACGTGTTGAGATAGTCATGTGTGCTTAGCATACGAAAAACACAAGAAAGGCGAAGAATATGAGTTAATTGCATTTCGGCATTTGCGTTCATGAATCGACAGTGGGGTGTTTGAGTGCATCCTTCATCTTAGACTGAGAAACGAGATTCACAGTTGTGAGTTTGTGTTTGCATCTCTGCTTTTTTTTGTTTGTTTTTTTTAACCAGGTGGTTATTTAAAAAAAAAAAAGCTGTGAATTTGCTTCTGATTCAACATCCCACATAAACGCAGCATTTGCAGTGAAAACACACTTGTCTGTATTAAGATTACATCTTTTGAGTTGTAGCCGGAAGCATGTAATCAACAGTCAGCCTTGTTTCAGAGCATTACTTGAAGACTTGCATTTTCTTTTCTTTTCTTTGTTTGTTTCAGCTCTCGAGTGGTTCTAGGATCAGGATGATACCATAGCCACATCCTCCTCCTGTTACTGCAGCACGACCACCGATAAGGGACCTCGAGGAGAGAAACCTCACTTCACGATAGCCTCTTTTTGCTCTCCAGCACCGGCTCCTCTGGGAATAATCCTGCAGCACTTACAGAGTAGCAGGAGAGGTGACAGCATTGCTCCCCCACCACCCAAGTCTGACAGCCATGATCCGGGAAGGCCCTCTGCTACGACTCAGATCGGGGATCAACTCACTGCTCGATGGCTAGGGCTGAACGTACAAAGAGCTGGGGGCCTTTCTGCTGAGGTAAGTCTCCGACTCCCTCTGCAGCACAGGTTCTATAATTCAAGTATGAGCCATTTTTGCTCTGCGCTCGTTTTGTCGAGTCAAGTGGCAGTCATGTCTGATTATAACTGAGTGGAACCGGTTTATGTAAATGCGGCTTTCTCACAACATTACTCAAAGACTACTTGCGTCTGTATGGAAGCAGTCAGATAATTTAAAAATGCGTGCATGTTATTTTGGGCAGAGCGCACTTTTACTTTCTAAACACATAATCTGTAGTAGTTTTGTAGTAGCACTTTCCACAGTCTTCTGCTTCCACCAGTAACACGGTTCATTTCTGGGAGTGCTGGATTCGATATTGAAACATTTATTAGGATACCTGGGCTCTCACCTTTGTAATAAATTATTCATTAACCCTTAATGGTCTCCGGTTGTCTCCTGACATTGCTCAGTGAGGATTTTCTTTCGTTCTTGTCGCTTAGAAGAGGCACGTTTCGATGAAAAAAACATTTCTCTCCTTTGTCTGTGTTTTGTATGAGACTATAATGAGAATAGGCATCCCGCTAACAATGCTGGTTTAAATCAGCTCTGTGGTTTTGCTTCAGCAGGCCAGTCGTGTCTTTAAGCATTTGTCTCCTCCGACTAACTCAGTCTTGTTTTTCTCTATTGCAGTATCCCTCACTGCATAGTAGCACATGGATTTCAAGACTTCAAATGAAGAGGTTGGTAGAATTTAATCAATGTAACAATTGAGCAAGATTATAGAAAGCGGCGAGGCATTTTCAGGCACTTGGAAACAGTGTTAAAGCATGCAAGGTATCTGAGGGCCTGTGGCTACAACAGCAGCGGGGCACATACAGTGCAGTTTGTGCATGTGCAGTCTCACTGGGCCCCCTTTATCCCCCTTTAATCTGTCAACTGCAAACTCCCCCCCACAAAAAAAACAAGTAAAGCTACACAACAAAACACACCACTTAATGTCTTTTAGCTTTCACTTTATGAGCTCATCTTATCTGACATCCTGAGCAACAAGGGAAGGTGGTGGTGATGATGGATCTGCAGCTGATTTACTCTCTGATAGCGTTTCTCAAGCAGAGACCATAGCCGCTTCATTTATCACCCAGCTATCATAAATTACCGAGGCTAGCCATGTAACATGCCGGCACAAAGGCACACCGAAACCCTCTGTGCTTTTCATCATGCTAACTTCTGCTTACTTGCATCCTCTCTCCTTCCCTGACCTGGAAAATGCACGGAGAGTGGAGGCTTCTGGATGAGTAAGAGTGAGGAAACACAGGTGTACCCTGTGCTGAAGTCTTTTATATGCTGGAATGATGTATACATGCTGCAAGTTTTTTCTTGCAGCGCCTATGACAGAACAAAGTTGCAGTTGTGATGCAACACAATACACACTCATGGGAGGGTGATCAATCTTGACAGTTCAGAATATACAGGCTGATTACTTGCTAAATGTGTTGGCGTCACAGAGTCGCAGCTTTTTTCACTCGCTTAATGGATGAATGAGGAAATGTAAAATATACAGATCATCAAAGCCACAGCTTTTTATTTATCTATTTTTTGAATTTGCAATCTGACGCTGCTGTATGGTGCATCATTGTGCAGATGGTGCTGCAAGTAAATAAATAGCTCAGAAATCATAACAAAAAAACCCACCCCAGCAACACTGACTTAGAAGATTAAAAGGAATGTTCAATGATAACTAAATCATTAACAGTGATTCTGCTGTTACAGAGCAGCCATGTTGATCAAAGTGTGCATCGAAACGAATAAAGACCTCTTTTTTATGTTAGAGAAGAGGCTCTTTGGGCACTCGTACCAGCTGGGGTTGACAGTTTTGCAGCACATCACAAGTAACTGATGCTGCTAAAGACTGACCCGAGGAACCGAGGATTTCTCTTTGGGCAGCTTCCTCGCATCTCTGCCTTGCATCGCATCTCACAGCTGGGAGATGCTGAGATGTGAGGCACGCGATGTTGACAAGCTGGTTGTCCGTTTTTGCTCCTCGACCGTCTTTTTTCAAAATGCAACAAAGTTCACTGCAGGTCCTCTTGATAGGAAACATCAGAAAAATTTATTTTCCTTTAAAAAAAAAATTAATCTCGTTTGGCGTTCGCTGTGATGGTCCTTGATTAAAAGAAGATTCCCTCATAGTTTGCCACATGCACGCCAGCAGACTACAGCTGATAATGGTGGGGTGTTTCGGAGGTTGGTGTGAATTATAGTGAATTATAAAATAGGATAAAGGATGAGGTTCATTATGTACAATACAAGCACTGCAGCGGGTCAAATAATGCTCAGTCACCTGAGATGCTGTCTGACCCGGCTAATATACAAACACTACTACCCTCATTTCGCTTGGCTAATGACTTTCACACAGACACGCATTACCTCAAATAACGTGAATTAATGGCTCCCTCATTTCATTTCTCACGCTGCAGCTGCAGGCGAGGGCTTGGCTCTTCACGTTCCTCATTTAGGGTGAAAGATAATATGCTCCGCAAACTGACTTTGATTCAAGTTCGACCCGCAATTTTGAGAGATACTCTCGCTGTCTCTCTGTCTGAGAATAGCAGTCATGCAACCAGCCTGTCTTGTGAACCGATGAGTGGCGTATCCTGGGCGACAAGGATGCTGACACTGGTGGCTTTCTTCTATTAGCAGTCTTGTCAGGTGAAGGTGCTCCTTTCATGTAGACCTTTTTAAGTCAAGGACAGGACAGGCATCACAATTAGCTGGGGATGAGGAAGGATACGCAGAATGCAAATGCATGCAGATTAGCGTGTTTTAAACGGTTCACTGGAAACACACACGCCGCTCTCACACTCGCTCGTGGAAAGCAGGGAGATTCAAATGCAGAGGTCGATTTGATTTGAGCCACTGAATTTCACAGCTTCTTAATTTGTCACCATTTGATATAATAATACAATGTGATGATATAATTTGGGTTTCTGTGTCTCAGCGTGGAACAGAGGGTACAAAAGTGTTATTTGGACTCGCAGAATGCGGCTTATAAGCCATATATCAATTGTTTTCTTGTATATTTTGTTATCCAAATTGGTTGTTTATTACTCAGAGCTGCTATTGTGGTTATTTGGTCCGACATTAGCCTTAACAAGAAGAGTAATTTAAAAAAAAGAAGAAAATAATAGACACCAAAACCCTGTTTCCTAATTTCCATGTTCATTCTGCAGCAAGTATTCTTAATGACATTTCATTTCATGGCCAGTTAATTTAGTCATGGAGGGATGATGAATGATTTTATCTTTCTGACTGTTCACAGACAAAGACTGGGATTTATTTGATGCAAGAAGGTAATGAGGAGCCGTTTAATATTCGACTACACTTGGCCAAAGATATTCTGACCATTCAAGAGCAAGATGTCATCTGTGTGTCAGGAGAGCCTTTCTATTCGAGCGTAAGTAACCCAGTCATAATTACAGACGCTGAAATCAGTAACGTATACAGCAGCGCGGGGTAATGAAGGTTACAACACAAAAGTGCTGAGAACACAGCTCAGTGTCTGTGTTAATGGAAAGCCTACATGAGTGAATCTATTCCTCATAAATCAAGTGTAGTCATTAAATAATAATTCACCTACTGAGTTTAACATTTAGCTCTCACTTGTCATCACCCCTGACAACTTTTCCTTCACATTAATTATTGCGCGGATTTCTTGTGCGAAAAAAAATATTCAGCGAGACCCGAGACCGTGACCTTTCCCAAAATGGAATTATTCATTCAATAACATTTTCCTGGATAAAAATCCTCAAATGACAAATGGAGGTTTGTGTCCTGTGAAACATCATTAATAATCAGCGAAAAGGGCAAAGGCACCGGTATGCAAATACAACTGCAACGTATCAGTCCAAGTGCTGGTGACCAAGTTCAGTTGAATATTTGGATTGAATTTTACATTTCATTTAAGAAATTGCTGAATACGCTGCATGCATGCACCTTGAGCAACAGAGTGTTCATATTCGATGCCATACAAACCTGACTGTCATTGAAAAATGTATCAGAGCCCACCCAAGACAACTTTTAACTTCAAAAGTTGTTGCAAAACATAAAATACACTCACTGGTGACGTTAGTAGGTACACCTTCACCTACACTTCTTTAAATTCTCATGGCATCGATTGAATAAGGTGCTGGAAACATTGCCTCAGAGATCATCTTTTGGACCATGTTGACACGACAGCGTCACACAGTTGCGGCGGGTTTGTTGGCTGCACATCCACGATGTGACTCTCCTGTTCAGCACAACCCAGAGGTGCTCTACTGAGACTGTGGGGGCCATTTGACTGCAGTGAACTTATTGTCTGTCAGTCTGACTTGAGCTTTGTGACATGCTGCGTTATCCTGCTGGAAGCAGCCACTAGAAGATGGGTACACTGTGGTCATAAAGGGATGGATGTGGTCTTCTGTGTGGCAGTGTTCAGGTAGACTGTGGTGTTTAAAAACACAGAAAATATCCCTCACACTATTACACCACCACTAGCAGTCTGAAATGTTTACACAGGTCAGGATGGATCCACGCTTTCATGATGTTTCTGCCAGATTCTGTCCCTGCCATCTGAATGTTGCAGCAGAAATTGAGACTCATTAGACCAGGCAACCTTTTCCAATCTCCTGCCCGCTAAGAACATGAACTGTATCCTCGGTTTCCTGCTCGTAGCTGACAGGAATATCACCTGGTGTTGTCTTATGCTGCTGTAGTCCACGTCTTTCAATGTTCTTGATTGTAACTAGCTGATATTTGCCTTTCCATCTGCTGGAAGCAGTCTGTCCATTCTCCTCAGACCTGGCATTTTCACCCAGTACTCACTGGATATTTTTACTTTTTTCTGACGATTCTGTAAACCCTAGAGATGGCTGTGTTTGAAAATCCCAGTAGATCAGCAGTTTCTGAAACATGTTTCTGAGCACAAACAACCACACTACATCAAGACTACTTCAAAATCACCTTTTTCTCCTGCATTCTGATGCTCATTTTGCACTTCAGCAGCTCGTCTTGACTATTTCTGCATCCTTAAAGACACTGAGTTGCTGCCATGTGATTGGCTGATTAGATATTTGCATTCACGAAGAGTTGAACCGGTGTACCTACTAAAGTGGCCAGTAAGGCACTGTAAAAGAAAATCCAAAAACTACATCTGAGAAAAGAAAACACACCCAATACAACAAAAAGTACCAAAAGAAGGCAAATATTTGTAAAATGCTCAAACTTATGCTGAAATCAATAAACCACCTTCCTGTTTTGTATTAAAAAATGTTGTAATCATTAAAACAGTTAAAGAAAAGCTTCAGGAGTTAGATCGTTTTAATTCCACATTTCCACAGCTTGAAATCATGTCCTGCAGTCTAAACTCGTCTTTCTAACTGCAGGAGAGGACTGTAACGATCAGGAGACAGACGATTGGAGGGTTCGGTCTGAGCATCAAGGTAATTTAGATCCCAGCAGATTAGGGCCGCTCCTCCCAAGCTCCTAGAATTAAGTCTGAACAAGTGGCATTGATTATTTCCTTGTCAATGTGCAACAACTGTGTCAGCCAAGGATGTTGATCTCAAGAGTCTTGTTCTCCATTTGTGATACCTTCGTAATCCAATTCTTTTTGATTTCTCTCTCTAGGGTGGAGCAGAGCACAAAATCCCTGTTGTGATATCAAAAATATCAAAGGAGCAGAAAGGTATAACGTCAGGGTTTTTTCTCCCCACTTCCCGTCATTTTCCCCCTCCTCTTGTTTGTTTGCGTTAAAGCGACTGTTCTCTTTCCAGCTGAACTGTCTGGGCTGCTTTTCATCGGAGACGGCATCCTTCAGGTAACACGCCGCATTAATGCGCGTTTACACATCTCATCCCACACCGCGAGCTAACACGTTTCCTCGTTCTTTAATAATTCATGCGCCACATGTCCATAAAACTGTGTGGCGTAATTATGCGTCCCTATAGGCTAATAAAGGTCTTTAATTTGTTGCATCTCTTTCAGCCAAAATAAATAAATAAATCGATTAAAGAAAATCTCCCACATGGCAACAGTTTTTGCCGCAGATGTCATAACAATTATTATGCTGGCCCCATTAATCATTTTGAAGATAAAGCTACAGTGATATGATGCCAGCAGTATCATTTAGGCTAACCGTGTTATTGTTGTTTCCAGATAAATGGAATAAATGTCAGGAGCTATCGCCACGAGGAAGTGGTAAGCTGTCAGCTCATATCTCATAGTTTCTCACCGCTGCAACAACTCTTTCAACAGCTTATCTTGTCTCACTTCATGATTTGTATCTTTCTGACATGTAAAGCCATTTTTTTTTCTCTTTCATTCCTGCCTAAATTCATCTGTAAGCAATATGTGTGAGTAAGGAGCATAAAAGTTGCACTCTGTAAATCCCTTATCTTGGATTTCCATTCTTAGCGAGGCTTTGCCACACCATGTTTCATCACAGCAAGCATTCAGCGAGAAAAACCTCACAGTTTACAGCTTCTGTAAAGAAGACCAAAAAAAAAAATATTCCCAAGGTTTGTTTGTTTTTCTGCTTTCCAGGTCCAGGTTTTAAGAAATGCTGGTGAAGAAGTGACTCTCACGGTCTCTTTCTTAAAGAAGACTCCAGCCTTTTTGAAACTGCCCCTTTGTGAGGACTGTACATGTGAGAACCCTCTCATTCACCCCGGTATTAGGTCTAAGTACATAATCACTATTACCGCTGTGGAAAATAATTGGCCAAGAGTATTTATAGCTGGTGGGGTTTTTTTCCTGTCTAGAATTGGTCGCCCTGGAAACAATAAATTTGAGTCGACTTGAGAGAAATAAAGAAAAATACGCCCAGCTCCTGCTCCATTTATTTTGGACTTCCTGTCTTGTTAAGCACTGAGTAAAGATGCTGCTTTGAGGAGTAAACCCATCTCAAGCTTCAGAAAAGATGCTAAAGACTAAACTGCAGTAATTAACAAAATCTCGGGATTGATTGCTCTCGTATGTCAGAGCTTTATTGTGAGACATGAAAGCGCTTCATGAAATCCTTTCATTTGCGTATATAGGGCAGGTTGACTGGCCATCCAGCCAGTCAACGGAATACAAATTGGCAGAGAGCTGGAGCCGACTTGAGCAGCAGAACAAAGTAACACGCTTTAGATGATGGCTGTGATTCATTGCTGCTAGAAACCTTGAAATAGACGGGGGTGTAGCTGTGGGTTTATTGTTGTTTTCCTGTATGCTGCAGGCATCCCCAGTGACCAGAGTAGTGGGACCTCCTCTCCTCTGTGTGATAGTGGCCTGCACTTGAACTACCATCCTAACAACACGGTACTTTTTCATTAGCCTTTCTTTTGATTGGCTGATTTAGTAGCTGTTCTTTTGTAACTACGCAGCAGCAGATGCCAGAAAGTTGTTTCCATGCAACTGTCACTGCTTGCTGAAAGCTAGGATGTTCTATCTTTATCTTTTGAGGACGGCAAATCACTTTAATCTGTCCGTGCATCCGCAACAACCGTATAGTTGCAGCAGGACTCGGGCTCTTTGACATGGGAACAGCTTCAAATGCTGGAGGTGGGAAGGGGCCATCTCTTCTAACTTCGGTTTCACACTTCTGCAGGACACCCTGTCCTGCTCGTCCTGGCCCACGTCCCCAGGGCTTCGCTGGGAGAAGAGATGGGTGGACCTGCGCCTTATTCCTCTGCTACACTCACGCTTGTCACAGTATATCCCCGGCTCTGACGTTTCCAGGTGAGCTCTGGGACTTCGTGCTGAAGTGTCAGTTTCTTTCTTCTTAAGATGTTAGTGCAGAGATCTCTTACATTTTAAATGCTTGGGGATTTTCAAATAGAGCACACTGCAATGCTCCATCTATAAATAGACTGTGTAGAGTGTACCATTAAACACACGATCAGTATTTGGCTGGGTTAACACTTCAACTTATGCCTCACTGGTGTCTCGTGATTTGGTTGGGTTAGTGAGTAAAGCCAGATTTATGTTCCTCTGCTCGTGTCAGTTTGGGCAACTCTTTGGATACGCAGAGAAAAGGATTATAGTAACTGAACCAAAAAGCCAATAGTTCGTTGCCTGACGCCTGTCTGGAACAGAAAAGGGACATGATAGTGAAGTTTAACACAAAGCAAAAGAAACGATTTTATATACACAGTAGTACATACACTGTATTTGTAGTTCCAGTTCACAACAGCTGTCTGATGGTGCTTTACAGTGTAAAGTAAAACCCTGCAGTATTAGCATGAACTCCCACAATCATACAGTCCCTGTAGGAAACACCCGGTGCCACCTGTGACTCAGGAGGTAGAACAGATCATCTACCAGTCGGAAGGTTGGTGGATCAATTCCCTGGCTGCTGTTAAATACACCTTAAAGTACTCTTGTGGAAGATACTGAACCCCAGATTGTGTGCACCCAAAGCTTGTATTAAGTGCTCAGCTAGAGCAGAAAAGCTCTATATATATAACTTCAATAAGGAAGATCTGTAATCACTGAGCAGCCTGCTTTTTAAATTTTTTTTTTTCCCTGTCCCATTTGGTTCTTTAGCCGTCAGAATTGTTGTCTGAAGACCAACAAGGATACCCAATGTATTGCCGTATTGGTCCATTTGATCAACCTTTGTTGTTATTGTTTATTTTATTTTATTTTCAGTTGTTACAGACGGGACAGACATGACTGAGGGATAGGAAAGGGAGAAAGAAAGAGGAAGGAAAAGAAAAACAGAAGGGAAGAGGGACAGTGAGAAAGGGCACTTAAAAAGAGAAAGAAGAAAAGAAGATCTCCTCTCACCTGTTGAGAGAAAAAGAAGAGAAAACAAGCACAAAAAAAAAACAGAGCAACATACTAAACACAACACCATCACGTTAATCTAGCTAAGTGTAAACAGCAGTAAATACTAAATATTGAATGTTGTTGTGTAGCAAGCAGGATTGACAGTGCATAATGTGCTTGGAAATAGCAGCCAATAAAGGTGTAGTTTATGTCTATGAACAGTGAACACCCGTGTGCACACCTGTGTGGATCAGCACACTTGTATTCAAAAGGTTTCCCTGTGTAATGGTCTGCTAGAGGATGTAGAGGCCCATAACCCTGTCCCCCAGGGCATGAAGCAGGCATGGAGGAGATCCAGCCTCCAGACATCCAGAGGCCCCAGAGTGAGAGAGCCCAAGTCGGACCACCGGAGGGACATTCGTGCCACCCTTCTGAGAAGAGCTGAGGAGAGCCCCAGATGAGGGGTCACCCAGTAGCCACGGAGCAGAAGCCAGAGGGGGCTGCAGTGGCGTGCCCGCCGGCTCTGCCGGCAGCCAGCTGTGCCAGAGTGAACCGAGCCGCTTTCCTAGGCTGCCAGTCTGTTCATTACATCACTGCCACTTTCACACACTATCAAACTCAATGCCAACATCACCTTCTTTGAGCCAATCAGCCTCTACTCTATATGATTTAAGTCTGTTTTCTCTGTCATTCTTCCTTTCAGGCTCTCATTTGTGCAACCAACCTCCTCCCCATCTCCACCTCACCTGAGTCACTCAGACCTCCATCCAACCTTCATCTTCATCTTCACCACCAGACATTGGGAGGTCCACTCTTAAATCCTCTCACCAATGGGATCTCATTCCGAGTCTTATCACAGAATAAATTCATTCATTTCTCTTTCTCAATAAATATCTTTAAATCGTCCAAACGATCTCTCCTTATTGAACTAGCAGAGGACTTAATATGTGTTTCTAGAAAGATTTGTATAACACACAGAGACTAACAATCCTCTACCATTAGATGGCATTTCATAAGTATGAGCAGCTTCACTGTCTGCATCTCTTTATATTTACTCCTGCAGGTTCCCTTTAAAAAAAAACTAACTGTGTGAACACAAACCAGAAACAGAACATGGCATATGACGCCATGCAGCTGCCAATAAATGCATTTAAACCTGGAATCTGGGCAGATCACATATGTAACTGTTCTGTCTCATCTCCGAGGCAAGCTTTCCCAGATGAATGTGCCTGATCCCATCTGCCGGTGGATCACTGACTTCCTGACGGACAGGAAGCAGCATGTGAGGCTGGGAAAGAATGTCTCGGACTCCCGGACCATCAGCACCGGCTCCCCTCAGGGCTGTGTTCTTTCTCCTCTGCTCTTCTCCCTGTACACCAACTGCTGCACCTCCACCCACCAGTCTGTCAAGCTAATCAAGTTTGCAGATGACACCACCATTATTGGACTCATCTCGGACGGGGACGAGTCTGCCTACAGAAGGGAGGTTGAACGTCTGGTGTCCTGGTGCAGCCACAACAACCTGGTGCTGAATGCCCAGAAGACAGTGGAGATTATTGTGGACTTCAGGAAGCACACAGCCCCACTCCCCCCCATCATCCTGACTGACACCCCCATCACCTCTGTGGACTCATTCCGCTTCCTGGGTACCACCATCACCCAGGACCTGAAGTGGGAGCCCACCATCACCTCCGTCATCAAGAAAGCCCAGCAGAGGATGTACTTCCTGAGGCAGCTGAAGAAATTCAACCTGCCAACACGGACGATGATGCAGTTCTACACCGCAATCATCGAGTCCATCCTCACCTCCTCCATCACCGTGTGGTACGCTGGAGCCACTATCCGGGACAAACAGAGACTGCAGCGTGTTGTGCGCTCTGCTGAGAAGGTGATTGGCTGCAGACTCCCATCTTTGCAGGACCTGTACACCTCCAGGACATTGCGGCGTGCAGCTCGGATCTCAGCTGACCCTTCTCACCCTGGACACAGTCTGTTTGATCTGCTCCCCTCAGGCAGGAGGCTCCGGTCCATCCGCACCAGAACCTCTCGCCATAAGAACAGTTTCTTCCCCTCTGCTGTTGGACACATGAACAATAACCATATGACTGTCCCCGCCACTAACACATGACCCTACGCTGTGTTCACTGTATCATTCCATGTTTGGCACTGATCACCACCTGCACTCATGTATATATCTTTCAACGTAGCACTCTTAATTCTTACCCTACTTTTATTTTTTCCATGTCTATTTAAGTGTTATTTATGACACCATGTTTGCACTGAAGCACCGCAGCAATTTCCAAATGTTGTAAACCTGCTCAACATTTGGCAATAAACCCCATTCTGATTCTGATTCTGATTCTGATTTATCTCAATAACTGCATATTGCTGAATATGTTTTTGCATTTATTTTTCATATTGCAGGCACAGCTTTTGGATTATATTAAAAAAAGAAGTGAACATTTAATATTTTGAGGTTTTTCATCACCTGACCAGCCTGTTCCAAAAGTAGTGCAGTATTCAAAAAAATTAAAAGAGAGAAAGAAATATAAATTCCCCCAAATCTGTTTTCATATTATGCATGTGGATCGCCTAAACAAGCAAAGTAACTAATTAGTGAGCTTGCACTTAGCTTACGTTGCTAAATTAATTAATCTTGGAAAATTGGACGCTCAGTTTTTCAAGTTATTAAACAGCAGCATTTTTCACCACAGTCAGTTTTGCTTAGTTTGTTATCACAGGAATCCCAGAGGAAGAGTTTCCAATGCTGGGATGCAATGAACTGTCTCTAATCCCCTTTTAAAATAAAAACAGAAACTAAATATGAATGTGTAAAATATTTGAAATCCTCCCCTGATCTTTGGCTTGTGTTTCTTTTACTCTTTCAGGAAAAATGCTTTCCAGGTCATAGCAGTGGATGGTGTTTGCAGTGGACTTATACAGTTTCCCACAGCAGAAGAATGCTTGGACTGGCTTCAGGCAATTGCAAGCAACATTTCCAGCCTCACCAAGCACAATGTGAGTAAGAAGCAATAACAGTTGTTAGCTCTCGTGGTCCCACATGTAAACCAGCAGGAAATTGGTTTGGGTGTTCATGCAACACGCTTGCAGTTTGTGGATTATCTAACAGTTCCTTTCTGAATGTCACAACATTAAGGGCCGTAGACACGTACTAGTGGGCCTTCTCACTACGAATAAAGTTAAATTTTATTCCTGAGTGCTCGAAGTCACAATAACAGCAGCCTCGCTGTACTACACTTATTCCTTCCAGCTGCCAGTATGCACTCATATTATCTATAATTCATCCAAAAATATTGCATTAAAATGAAACCACAAGGCAGAAAGAAACAGAGAAACGACTGCGTTGTATTCTTTCTCTTATTGTGAATAAAATTTTCCAAGCTCTACTTCAGCTTTGTGGAAAACCTGTTTATGTGTTTTCAGATGAGTGGTCATGCTCAGCAAGGGTCTGAAATACCAATACTGCTTAACAAGCTCCATTGCTGCACATCATTGCTCATATATGAAAAATTGATAAATTTAACATTTTGTATTTTGGTTTATTTTCATTCATTTCCATGTAGAAACTTCTGGTATTTTTTGGGAATTACTAGATAGATAAAAACACGGGACCGACTGAGCAGCAGTAAAAATCA